AAGAAGAGAGAGAGAGAGAGAGAGAGAGAGAGAGAGAGAGAGAGCGCTGCATCGCAATGAGTGTGCCATTGAAAGTAAAAATTTACAAAAATTTTTGAAGCTTCGGGCGCATTTTTGTATATCAGATATAATTTTATAGTTCACAAATAATGAAGTACGTACACGTGCACCGTAATCAACGTTACATGTTATTAGATTTCATATCTATTTACATTTATCAAATATGCATTGTTGTTAGCGCGCAACATTAAATAATACAGTTGTTTGTAATTACATGAAAAGATATCACGATAATCTCAAATGACGTTATAAATATTAATGAAAATCCAAGTATGCAATTTCTAATTATAGCGCATATAGGTCATTATATTCACGCGGGCGCGTACATTTTTCCCGGGAAAATGTAGTTTAGATTAAAAATTCGGATACGCCGCGTCTCATCTTTCATCTACAAATTCTTTAGAGTAAACTCAAACTGAAGTCCCTCGTCAAAGAAACAAAAAAAAAAAAAAATAAGTCTCGCAGTAGCCTCGGTGCGCATGGGATTACTTCAACAAAAAGCTCAACACTCGAGACGTAATCACTGAAGAGCTGTTTAATATCGAAAGGCAAACGGCGAAAAGAAGTAGCGTCTAAGTTTTCGCTAAGAAAAATCCAGTCTGGCAGCCGGGAGAAGGGATGAAAGGAGCGACGATAGTTTCTCTCGCGGATACCTCCCTTGATTAAGTTACACAAAGCACCTGTCGGGCAACTATCTCGGAAGTTCGCTTCGCTCGGCGTTCTCTTCCAGGACGCGTTCCGACGCGGTGAAGATGTCCGACATACGGGGAGATCTGGCGAGGCGCATTCCGTGAACTAGAGAGAACTGGAGAGAAAATGGCGGATGGACGGGTGCGAGTAAATATCTCGAGATACTAATTTCGTAGTGTCCCCACGCCTCATTTCCGTCCGCCACTAATTAGGCGTCGCTATCGCCAGCATGCGTCGCGCGTCCTCTCTCTCTCTCTCTCTCTCTCTCTCTCTCCTCTCTCTCTCTCTCTCTCTCCTCAAAATAATCGGATTTTAGTCACCCTCTGGTTGTTCCTTATTATTTCAGGAGATGCAAATCTGACAGGATTCGCCTGATAGTTCGGCGAAAGGGCAGGGATGGATGGATGGGGCGAGTTCACGCGTCCGCGAGATAGTTCACGCAGAAATGACGAGGGACTCCCAGGGACGACGAAGTAAGAACTTACTTACCGTAGAACCAGCACTGCTTTTCGCCGAAGCGAGGCCTCAGGAACGTGTACTGCGGTTGAGACGGTAGATGATCAAGAAGAGCGGCCAAGCCGGCGACCAGGAAGGGCCCACCCCAGGCGTAGCAGGCGTAGACCCTAAGCCTGAGGGTCTCCTGACCTTTCTCCAGGCTCACCGGTCGCAAATCTCTGAAAGCAGCGAAAAGGCGAAGGCTCGATAAGCGAGGAGCGATTTACAATCGCGAGAACGCGCGGCATTGTGAGAAACGCAAAAGGGAAGGTAAAATATCGTGACGGTCACATGCTTTTCTTCTATTTCGCTTTTCTTTCCGTTGGAGAAACGAATGGAGGGAAGAGAGAGCGTTCTTTTTTTTTTTTCTTTTCTTTTGATTTCGAGACATAGAAGTAATAAATAGACTTGGGAATAATTGTTTTTATAATAAGAGGATAGCGAATATGGTAGGGAGAGTCATAATGGAGCTATTACATGAAAAGAACAGTTTTGCTGACAAAAATTTGGCCAAATATAAAAAATAACTTTGTCAAGCCTTTAAAATTATTATGTAAAACGTTCAAATAAGTTGCTGGAAGATGAAAAATTTTTGCAGTTATTATCATATTTAAGCATTCTACATAATTTTGATAGTCCAACAAAATTATTTTCAGATCTGTGAAAATTCAGATCTGGGAAAATTTTTAGATTTGCCACCAAAACCATTCTCTTTGTGCATTCTATTATGGTCGTCATCGATCATCTTCTGATGAAATGAAACTGCGTGAGAATTCGGCATGTCCGCTCGTAAAGGACTAAATCGTAAAGCTTTGTCATTGTCCGGCTAGTTTAATGTCGACGTAATGACGCTCATGGCAAGGAGATGAACGTTAGGGCTTAACGTTCACAGAAGGGTTGTTACTCAAATATCGCACCCTAATGCAGCGAATGTCGGCTATCATAACGGGCAGTTAGTAAAACTGCGAAAAACTGGATAAAAGAGAAAAGAATAGTTAACAATACTATAAGCCATTTCTATTGGATTTTCTAAATAAAAAATATTGATTCCAACGTAGGTTAATTTTTAATAAAATTTTTATTGGTTTGAAGATTAAAATGCTATAAAATATTTGGCCGAAAACGGCCTTTGTCGATATAAAACAACTATTATATTAATAATTAAATCGCCCATAATTTTCTTTCAAAATTGTAATCAATTTTTTACTGAAAATATATATATATATATATATATATATATATGTGTGTGTGTGTATGTAGAAAATAAAAATAAATACATATATGTTGTATGGTTCGGATAGGTGTATAATATATTACT